GCCAGTGTAGCTATACATCTGACATTCTTTTGTTCTTTGTGCCACAGTGGCACTACTGCAGTCACACCTCCTGGCTCCTGCTCACCGCTGCCAGCTTTAGAGGTTGGTTGCTAGCACAGCTCGGCGACTAGCAACCAACCACATGGTTAGTCCAACACCGCCCCCGGCATTATATGGAGACTTGAGCTTTCTCCTCCAGTCCTGGCTGCTACCACACTTCCCAGCTCCCTCTTGCAGCTTTCAGTATTAATGGTTGATTGGCTGCCCGGCATTTAAAAACCAAACACATGGTTTGTCTGACTCCTCCCCCAGTGTTAAGTGAAACTTCCCCACCAGACCTGGCTGCTGCCAGTGCCCCACCTCTCTCCATGCTTCATATGTAGTTAAGGGCTCAGTGAACTTAAGAAAGGTAAGAAACTTCTGGGGGCTCTGATTTAGAGGACGAGGAGCTCTGGGGTCCCTATTATAAGAAGGTGGATGATACTAGGGAGGGGATCCTGATGAAAGGGGGGGGGGGCTCTGGGGACCCTGATGTAAGGGAAGATGGACCTGAATACCCTGATTTAAGGAGAGGGGGCTCTGGGGACCCAAATATAAGGAGGGGGCTATGAAGACTCAAATATATAGAAGGGATAACTCTGGGGACCCTGATGTAAGGAGGGGAGCTCTGGGGACCCCGATGTAAGGATAGGGGCTCTGGGACCCTAATGTATACAGAGGATAACTCTGGGAATCCTGATATAAGGATGGTGACTCTGTGGACCCTGATGAAAGGGGGGCTGTGATGACCCTGATGTAAGGGAAGATGGACCTGAATACCCTGATGTAAGGAGAGGGGGCTCTGGGGACCCTGATGTAAGAAGGGGGGCTTTAGGGACCCAAATGTAAGGAGTGGGCTCTGGAGACTCAAATGTATAGAGGGGAAAACTCTGGGGACCCTGATGTAAGGAGGGGGGTTCTGGGGACCCCGATGTAAGGAGGGGGGCTCTGGGGACCCTAAAGTATACAGGGGATAACTCTTGGAATACTGATATAAGGAAGGTGACTTTGGGGACCATAATATAAGGTGGGAAAACTATGGGGACCCTGATGTAAGGAGGGGGGCTCTGGGGACCCTAATGTACACAGGGGATAACTCTAGGGACCCTGATGTAATTAGGAGGGCTCTGAGGACTCTAATGTATAGAGGGGATAACTTTGGGGACCATGATGTAAGGATGGGGGCTCTGAGGACCCTGATATAAGGAAGGTGCCTCCAGTGATCTTAATATAAGGAGGGGATAACTCTGGGGACCCTGATGTAAGGAGGAGGGCTCTGAGGACCCTAATGTAAGGGGTGGCTCGGGGACCCTGATGTAAGGGCAGTGGCTCTGGGGACTCTGATATAAGGAGGATGATTCTAGCGAGGGGACCCTGATGAAGGGGGGGGGGGAATGTGTGGACCCCGATGTTAGGAGGGGGTGGATCTGAAGACCCTGATGTAAGGAGGGGTGGCTCTGGGACCCTGATGTAAGAAGGAGGGCTCTGGGGACCCTGATGCAAGGAGGGGCCTTTGGGAACCCTAATGTCAGGTGGTTGTCTCTGGGAACCTTAATGTATAGTGGGGATAACTCTGGGGACCCTGATGTAAGTATGGGGGCTCTGAAGACCCTGATATAAGGAAGGTAACTCTGGGGACCCTGTTATAAAGTGGGGTGACTCTGGGGACCCTAATATAAGGAGGGCATAACTCTGCGGACCCTGATATAAGGGGCGGATGACTCAGGGGACCCTGATGTAAGGGGGTAGCTCTGGAGACCCTGGAGTAAGTGGGAGGGTGACTCTGGGGACCCTGATGTAAGGGGGGGTGACTCTGGGGACTTTGACGTAAGGGGGAGGGACTATGATGAATAGAGGGGACTCTAATGGAGATTTATGATGTAAGGGGGGAATTTGATGGAGACAGGGGACTCGTCCTGACTGCTGCACTCGATATGTTGTTTTGTCCTATAGACCGGTTTCTGATGAACAATCCTGTATCTTTCGCCATGCCAGTACAGTGAAGGGGGAGGAGTGGAGAAGGTCTCCATTCTGTGAGGAGACCCACCTAAGGACACAGAGTGATGAAGACACATGGAGGGAGCCAAGAGCTTGCGTACAGGTAGGGGAACCCATGACTGATGGGACAGCAAGTGAGTGTCACTGATCACATCCCAACGCAGCACTGCCACTGATCCTATCAACCCCCCCAGCACTACCACTGATCCCTTTCCCCCCACTACCACCACTGACATTGATCCCACCTCCCCCACCACCCCCCTCCAGCCCCGGCAACCAATGGGTGAGCGGTAATGATGTACAGTAACTGCTAAGGAAACAATCAGTGAGTGGTAAGGATGTGCAATAACCTCTAGCAACCAATCAGCAAACATAAATGATGTACTGTTACATCTACCAACCAATTAGTGAGTAGTATTGATGTGCATTAACCTCTAGCAATCAAGCAGCAAGCAGAAATGATGTGCTGTAACCAATCAGACATAATAATATGCTGTAACTTCTGGCAACCAATTGCAATTGCTGCCTGATCTGCTGAAGCAAACTGATTTTGAGTCTAGCTGCTATTTATCGTCTCAGAGCAAGTGGACAGCAAAATTGCATGGGGGAAAGGGAGGGGGCCCAATAAAATGTCTGCCCAAGGTCCAATTAATATTAAAACGGCCCTGCTTCTCACACAGCATAGAGAAGGGGAGACAGGTCTGTCAATCACAGTCCACATCAAAGCCCATAATCACAAGCACATACAGTAAGACAGTCTGTGACAGTCATGAGTGTCACTGTTCTCTGCATTCATCAAAATTAATGATAAATAATAAATCGTCTGTTTAGGCTGTACATTTTTGGGTGGAGAAGGACTGCATTTAAAAAACTAAGATGGAGATACTGGAGAATGAAAAAGGATTTAAGATGGTAATAAGGCATTTTTTTGTTTGAAATTAAGCCCTTTAAAGCGGTATTAAACCCAAAAGCAAACAATTATTACATTGCAGCCTACCAATTCTTAGATGTGATGGCTGCATTAATTTTCTTTTTAGGCTTTCTTTCTCTTATTTCATTTATTTTGATCCAGCTAGCAAGTCTGTTTTTTCAGAAGCTCAAACTCTCCAGCAGAATATATCAGTTTACATTGAAAAGACAAACCATTTTACACTGGCAGGAATGATTAAAGTGATCAGCTTTTATTTATTCATCTAAAACCTTTATCCTAAAAGGCAAAAAAACATTGTACAGTTGCAAGAAAAAAATATGTGAACCCCTTGGGATTATGTGGAGTTTTGCATGAATTAGGCATAAAATGTGCTCTGTCTACAAATGGAGAAAGTTTAGCACTGTTGCTACTCTCCCTATGCGCTGTCGTCCTGTAAAAATGACTGCAAGAGCACAGCGCAGAATGCTGCATGAGGTGAAGAAGAATCCCAGAGTGTCGGCTAAAGACCTACAGAAATCTCTGGCACATGCTAACATTTTTGATGACACCTACAATAAGGAAAACATTAAACAAGAATGGAGTACATGGGAGGACACCACGGAGGAAGCCATTGCTGTCCAAAAAGAATATTGCAGCACGTTTGAAGTTTGCAAAAGAGCACCTGGATGTTCCACAGCACTACTGGCAAAATATACTGTGGACAGATGAAACCAAGATTGAGTTGTTTGGGAAGAACACACAACACTATGTGTGGAGAAAAAAAGGCACAGCACACCAACATCAAAACCTCATCCCCACTGTAAAACATGGCGGAGGGAGCATCATGGTTTGGGGCTGCTTTGCTGCCTCAGGGCCTGGACGGTTTGTTGTCATTGATGGGAAAATGAATTCCAGAGTTTATCAAGACATTTTGCAGGAAAACGTACGACCATCTGTCCGCCAACTGAAACTCCGCAGAGGATGGGTGATGCAACAGGACAATGACCCAAAGCATACAAGTAATTCAACAAAACAATGGCTGCAAAAGCACAGAATACGCCTTCTGGAGTGACCCAGTCAGAGTCCTGACCTCAGCCCGACTGAAATGCTGTGGTATGACCTTAAGAGAGCGATTCACACCAGACATCCCAAGAATATTGCTACACTGAAACAGTTTTGTGAAGAGGAGTAGTCCAAAATTACTCCAGATCATTGTGCAGGTCTGATCTGCAACTACAGGAAACATTTGGTTGAGGTTATTGCTGCCAAAGGAGTGTCAACCAGTTATTAAGTCCAAAGGTTCACATACTTTTTCCTCCCTGCACTGTGAATGTTTACATGTTATGTGCAATTAAACCATGGCAACATCTAATGTTTGTGTAGTATTATGTTCAGCAGACGGTGTTCTTCTATTGTTGGGACTTAGATGACGTTCAGAGCACATTTTATGCCCAATTCATGCAAAACTCCACATAATATCAAAGGGTTCACATACTTTTTCTTGCAACTGTAACTGATTACAAAGTGTGAGCTGGAGTTTGGTTTCAATTTGTTATTGTATTTAAATCTGATGGTACATTTAACACCCCTCCCCCTTCCACCAGACTGACAATGCCATTGTCTGTTGTGCCTGCTAAATTCCCCCAGAATTGTGTCTCGCTATTACAGGAGGTATGTTACTGGCCAGATTACCAGGTGAAAAAAGATAAAACTAATTCAGCCACTACGTTTAATGATTGGTAAGCTGCAATATATTACATTTTGGGTTCTAGGATTAATACCGCTTTTATTTGAAGATTCAGAAATTAGTACCAGCCATGCTCTGAAAGCCTTTACTTTGCTGTTCCTATAGTATTTGTCATTATGACAAATGGTTCATTGGAAGCTAATTTGCTATCTGAATAATTCACACTAGAAATTGTGGGGAGAAAAATACTGGCATGACATGTTATACATACAGTAGTTGGTGAATCCTATAACTTCCAAACCTCAGCTAACACACATGAACTTTTACATGAATTGTTTTGTTTGCATGCATACATGCATATCATACCTGTCTGCAATGTCACCAAAGAATACTGCTCCAATGAGCACTCCAAGCATGAAGGTAGGTTGAACTAATTTAGCGAGCCATTCATGGTCACAAATCAAATCCCATTCAGTCACTATGCTACTATCCAGATTTGTAAGATCATAATGAAATCTCCATCAGTACAGGAAAAGAGAGTCTTATTTCCATCAGACTTGTACATTAGATCTATGTTATTTTCACGTTTAAACCTGGTACAATGCTGCAGTTCCCAGATGTCCCCATCTTCCTGCTGGACAACAAGATAATCATTTGGTGATGTCCACAGGTCCCACATTTCACGGAACCCATAGAAAGAGTCATTATGGAGTAATATCAGACTGGCATTTCCTGGAGGTCTGCAGACATATTTTGGTGTAACAGCAATGAACACGGAGGCCAGATAGTGAATTCCACATGAGATTGCTTGAAAAGCAGAAGCAAAGTATATGTATGCTTGGAATCTGCAACAGACCATAAAACATATGTTACACAATAGATTTAGAGATAAAAAAAAACAATTGTCAGTAAAGTCTTTAATCATTTAAAGAACTATTGTCAACAGGTTTTAAATTTGATTAAACTTCCCAGGAAACCAAGTGCATATAGCAATTACTTCTATTCTGATTGCCCTGTTGGACCCAAAGCACACCTCATAATGCTGATTGTAGCTCCACCCCCTTCAGAATTCCAAATTATGGGCATTCCTGTGGGGGAGGTACAGCCGCCACAGAGCCCACCCCCAGATGAGTGACCTGTCACTATTATGATTGAATAATCAGCACTGCTTTTTTCATTTGTAACAGTAAAATATTACCCAGAGCTATCGATTTGTGTATAGTATCTGTCAATGCCCTGTATGAAGTAAAAGCAGTCGCAGATAGATTACACAGAGCTGCAGCTCTGAGTGATTATTTTACAATTATGAATAAACAAGCAGTGCTGATCTTTCACCTATAATAATGATAGATCACTCAGAGCTGCAACTCTGTGTGTCTATTAGTGGCTGCTTTTACACATACATAGCCTGGCTGAGCTTTCACTTGTAGCACCCTCCTAGATAGTTGCTAGGATTTGTATAGTTAGGGTAAATCAGAACTCCACCCAAAAGGGGAATCTCTGCTTTAAAGACTGGTGCCCCGAAATTGACAGGTACCCTCTCCCACTTCCGCTGCAATTGACTAGGCGATCGTAAGCGTAAGTTGTCCTCTCCCTTTCCTCCCCATAGTCTTCTGCAACATATGACAGGTCCCAGAAGACTATGGGACCATTCAGAAAGCGCAGTGCTACTCGCGTATGTGCAGTGGGCATCCTGCTGTAAAGCCACAAGCTGTCACAGCCGGGTGCCCACACTGAAGATGCCAGCCCCTGGAACACTGGGCAGCCCATAAAATGGGCTGTGGGGGAGGACACTGTGGGATAGAGGGACAGGTGAGTGGCTGTTTTTTAAAAGTCAGCAGCTACAGTTTTTTATAGCTGCTGACTTATTTTTTTGCAGTGTGACTGGAACTCCGCTTTAAGTATAACTGTGTTTCTTTGCTTAACAGAGAGGCTGTTAGGAAAATCTATTTGGGCTCTCTGCTTAACAGAGTGCTTTGATTGATTAAAAAACAAGAAAAAGAAAATAGGTTACACACCCATAAGGCTATCCCTCAAAATAATTTATTCACAAAATCAATAAAAGAGAATAATGAAAAATACAATCCTTAGCAGATGTGAGTACCAAACCCCGCCACACAGAGTCCCCTTAAAAAGGCACCCCCCCAAAGTTAATAAAGGAGATGGACAATCCCACCCCAGTCCCAGACCACACCACGCGCACCACCCTGCTAAACCCTCCCCTAAACTTTGCTTTGATTGATTAGACAGGTCTGCTCATGATGCTCTGGTGCTGCTGAATTTGCCTTGAGTTCTGCCCGCCTTCAGGAAACTATGAGAGCCTTCCAGAACCTGGGAGGGAACTAGGCAAATGAGCAGCATGAATATGGATACAGCCCTGGCCAGTTGCAGGGGAGAAGAGTACCATTGCATGCTGGGAGTGGTATTTATGTTCTGTGAGCACATGGGTTCAGCATCTTCCCCGGGAGAGGATTGAACCAAGCCAGGCTGGAGGAAGGCTTGCCTTGCCTGGCACTGGCTGCCAGGTGGCCTCAGGTGGGTCGACTTGAGGGCTTGAAGCTAGAGAGAGTGACCCTGGTTCTTTAGTAGGCTGACTGAGGGGTCTGTCTGCCAAAGTGCTGTCTGGTATCACTGGAGGATTTTGCTTGGAAGATTGGAAGAAGGCAACCATTCTGTCCTTGGGCCTTGTGAGTACAGACATTGAGGGTGCTTGATAGTCAGCATAAGTCTGAAAAGGAAAGGGAACACTGGCTAGTGTCCTGAAGAGCTTGTCCAACTGTTGCTACTGCAAAGGACTTTGCTCAGCTATGTTACCTTTGGCTGTCGCAGTCTGTTGTAACTGTCTTGTACCTGAGGAACTCAGCCATGTAACTACTACTGAAAAAGCAACTTTGCTCACTCCTAAACTACTTGATGCTACAAAGTAAAGAGAAGTCTGCTTTCTGCTTTTAGCCAGGACTTTAAGAGCGCTCAACTAAGAGATCAGCTAGATGTCCTCAGTGTGATTAATTCTAATTTTGAAGTATCCTACTACATTCCCTATCCTTATCCCCAGTTCTACACTAAAACTCCAAAAACAAACATCCCCTAGACCTACAACGAGTGTAGGTGTGTGTGTGTACCTAGATGCAAAAAATACCTGGTGCATGGCTGCAGGGTGAAGACGGGGCAAAACCTGTGCAAAAATTCAAGCGGCCCTTATGAGGGTGGCACTACACACTTTTATGCATGAACAATCAGCAACGTTGGACTTGTGCAGTGTATTTCACAGACATAAAGAGCTGATTGCTGATTCATAAAACTGACTGATCAATCAAAGCTGTGTAATCCATCAACTGAGCTGTGTAAGTGTAAAAAAGCAGCAGCATAGAAGGCTGTGTGATTTTATTTGGCAGTGCTAATCTCCAGAATTGCTCCTGCTGAAGAAGACTCCCAGCACAAAGAGAGAGAAGCATATGTTTGGCCCCAAAGAAAAAGACCCACTTCTGCTAAATGAGATAATGATGGAAGGATTAGCCTAGGATACAGGGCACAGGAATCCATGCACATACATGAAAGACACATAGGTGTATCTATAGATTAGACGTATATGTTAGATGTATGTAGTGTCTACTATATGTCCAAGCTAAAATAATAAACAGAACTGAGTATTCTGAAGATGACTCATATAAATTCTTAATAAAGTATTATTTTGTATATACTCTGTTAGTCATCTGTTACTGTGATCCAAAGAAAATGCTAAACTCTCTAGGAAAGAACTGAGTTCCTGTTTAAACAATGATAATAATAATAACAATCATCATACTTGAATTATGTGCAATATATTGGTGCCATGACAGAAATGGCTTTTGAAATTACCGAAGAGCCAAATGACCTCATCAGATCTGAGGAGACATCTAGTTTGTAATCCAAATGAAAGAATTTGGAGTGGACCAGGTGACTGTCCTGCAGACAGTTTCGGCCAAAACTTTGGAATGGACATGAATCTCAGTTGGAGGAAAAAGACCCAGACAAATATGAGAGCTGAAAGATTTTAAAGAAGTATGCCGAAACGACTTTGAAATGAACTGCCAAACCTTTCCTGGAACCTGCCACACAGACACATTTTTTGCCTTCCTGAAACTGCTGGTTATTTGAAAGTGATTTTCTTTTCTAAAGTCCAACTTGGGAAGGTCTTCATCTGCTATTTAAGCTTTATCTGAAGAAAATGCTGGAAGTACTATTTTAGATGGAAGTAAGATATAACCAATTGTAATAAACATGACAAATATGTTGGGATATTTGTATGCCATAAAGAGTAGGTCTCAGGAAAATCAAATGGAGGTGTCAGAAGTGCATGCAGTACTAAAGTCAGATCCCTGGCTCCTACCTGTAAATGCAGACAGAGCAGAAATTTGTACAAGTAACAAGCTGTAGCTCAGACCCTTCTCCAAAATCCAGGAGGTGAGACACCGAAGGTGACAGAGGATTAACCTGTCTAGCCATGGCAAAAGTTTAGGAAAACATACAAAATTCTGCAATAAGTTGAGTTCATGGACAATTTTCTGGCCTTTAACAAAGTTACAAAGACTGTGTCAGGGATCCTGCAGCGGTAGCCTCTAGCACTCCACAGACCGGAATCCCCCAAGGCGCGGAATCTAACGCTCCGACCTGCTTGTTCACCAGAGCCCCTGATGGTGGGGATGGACTTGGAGCAGGCCGAGACCAGGTCGCGGCCCCTGGGTTCACCCAGCTGTGGTAGAGGCACCGTTGAAGGTGTATAGCGGGTAAGAGTCTGATGTGAGGATTTAACTGAAGCAGCGCCAGGCAGGCCGGGTCGGTAACAGTGGTGGCGGTGTAGTACAGAATCAGCAGGCAGAGGGATAAACAGGTCACAAGCCGGGATCATCAACAGGAGGTCAGAACGTATGGGGTTAAGCAGGAGAATGGTCAGACAAAGCCAGGGATCAGAGCAGGAGAATGGTCAGACAAAGCCAGGGATCAGAGCAGGAGATGGACAGCAAATCAGGATTAGGCAGGGTTGGCAACAAACAATCTACTCACAGGAACTCAGGAACACAGATAAGACCACACAGCACTTGAGCATTGCAAGAGCCGGGTTTAAATAGTCCGCCCGACTCCTGACAGGCGCTCCTGGGTCCTAGTGCTTGCCCAGTGCCGTCATTTGTGACAGGCGCGCCTGGGTCCTAGTGCCCGCCTTCCTGTACGTTTTGTCAGGATTCTACGCATGTGCAGATTCAATCGCTGCGGCGATCTTCCCATTCCCTGACAGACTGCCTCAGAGATACAGTATCTAACCTTTTAAAACACCACCTTTTAATTTTTGAGCAATTGGGTTGAGGCATTTTTGGTGTTCAGATGCCCGAGCTCACTCATAGTAGGAGATCCAGAATTATCAGCAATGGAATCAGCAATTCAACTTTTGGACGATTCATTGCAATTGCAAAAAAAACAGCTTTCAGCTTTTATGTACTGGGCTACTGTCATTGACTGCAGATATTGCTTTGTTCAAAAGAAAATTTTCACAGAGATCTGTTACAACTGAAGACTATTGGTTCCCCTTGTCTGACCACATGGGCCGCCACCATCTTGATGTCTGACAAGATCTTAACATGTTGGCCCAGCAACTGGCTCTCAAAGGACCTTGAGAATAAATGCTAGCTCTAGGTGACTGGAAGTTAGGGGCCATGGTTGCATCAAGCGGTTCTGTGTCTGTTTTCCCAGGCAGTGCACACAGTGTAAACAGTCTACGCTGTCCGTTTGCACCTGGCTACCTCCAATCTGGTCTGCAAAAATGGAAGAGGCTGGATTAGACCCTTGAAGGCATTTACACAATGGCACAAGTCAGTTTAT